CATCCTAGGAGAAGCAAATGGTTTTGCAACATGAAAGTCATCAATCAGTTCAAATCCACCCAGTGGCAGATAAGACAAACAAAATGAATCAGACTGCCATAACTTAGAATCCACTGGTTGGAACATGACAGCAAAAACACATGCATACCAAGTCACTAAAGGTAAGCTTACACCTGTGTGTAAAGTACTCTGGCCTAGCAAAGGAAGTGCTAAAGTAGTTCCATTCTTTCACAAAAGGTCAGACTTTACCTGTTGAAGTGTACTAAGTGACCCCATTTTCACTACATACAAAACCAAGTCTGTCGCCATTATGTCCCTTCCAACTCCTAACGACTTCCACAGGTTTTCCAGGACTAAATCTTGATGGAAGCAGACAGTGCCATCTTTCTTCTGAAGGGAGGATGGCAGGTTTAAATGTTGCCATGAGCACTTCCAGGCCTACCCCAAAGCACCACAGAGAGATTTAAAAAGGCAAAGCTCTACATCTTAATTGTTGTGAATGTGATCAAGCCTGGACAAATCTGAGACATCTTCTGAGTGATATTTTTCAAGTCATTATTCTCCCCTTTTTAGTGTGAGTGGATGAAACTGAAAGTTGGCTACTTTATTGTGATTTTTTCCAAACCAGGCAACATCTTGGGAGCTAAGTTAAACTGCTTTCCATAGAGCAAATAAATAATTTGAGCCCAATAGGTAGCTATATGCAGATCATTATTGCATGCAGTAATTTCTGGTTGCTGACGTCCTTGGTTGTTTGTGTTGGCTAACCACTGGGGTCACGACATGTCCTGTGTTGGCTAACCACTGGGGTCACGACATGTCCTGTGTTAGCATCATACATCTGCACATATACAGTGTGCTGAAAATATACACTGCTTTGATGGGAGCAAGACCAATTCCTATTTTTCCAGTTAAGTAAGAAGTTATGTGTAGAAACCTGAATCAAATGGAGTTTTAGTTCTAATTTATTGCAGTGATGTCAAAAGATTCCTTATAGATTGATGACGAAGTTGTTCACTGCATGTTTGCCCTGAATAAATCAATGAAAACAATAGAACTATTATCTTTTTTTAATTCTAAGAGTTCACAGAATATAAATTACTGTTATCATTTTCATCTTACATTTTCATTTTATTTCATCAAAATATCATTACCTAAGGCACAAATGGAATGATTTCTACACGTGGTTTTGTAATGTCCCACAATGTCTTCAATAATTTGTAAAGGTATTATAAACATAGGCTCCTAAATTTCTCTCGACGCACAATTAATTTCCATTTAAAGTAGTTTAAACAGTCAGAATCATCTCAAATGATAAAATTTTATAAATGAGCAAAAAGGCATACAGATATGTAAGGACACAGAAATTCTCAAAACTTGAGTCTACATTACCTTTGCTATTGTTTTAAGTAACACTCGCATGAGCATTTAAATGTGCCTCACACTAAAAGTTGTTGATTTTAAATAGAATCCTAACTGATATACATGTATGTATGTATTTAGGCACTTAGGTGTACTCAGACTCACTGTCGTTGAGCTAATTCTGACTCATAGCAACATGGGGTTTGGGGGACTGTGAGCCTATAAGAGAGAAGGCTGCCTCATCTTTCTCCCTTGGAGTAGTTGATGAGTTTGAAACTGATGACCTTTGTAGATATATGCATATGTATATGCATCTATGTATGTGTGCATGTATTCATATATATAACGAATGGATGGAGCAATCACAATTTTTTTTTTTGCCGTTACAAAAAAAAATCCTTGCAGGGTTGGATTTCTGAGTTTGAAAGATTAGGATCTTAGTCTTCTGAGACATTTGGTCAGTTGCAACATAGATCATAAAGTTATGTTTTACATCCGAGTTTGTTTAGTAGAGTCTAGGTTCTAGAAAGTGTATATGCCATCATCTAAAACACAACTATTGATCTCTACTCACCTGCAGCAAAAGAGAAGGAAACCAAAACCTCAAAGAAGAAATTCATCTGCAGGAAAATAGTCTGCATGAACCTCTACTACCCAGAGACTGAGCAAGCTAGAAAGAAGCCCAGGCACCACTACCACCCACACCAAGCAAGGTCACAAGAGATGGGCCTGGGTGGAACCGGAGAAAAACATGTGAAACAGACTCTCAAATTCTTTTAAATTAAAAACAAAATAACTAACAAAAAAAGTAGACTGGTTGAGATTGGAGGACTCTTGTCTGCCAACTGTTTGAACTTTGGACAGAAATTAATCCCTGAGATAATTTCATATTAAATAACCAATTGACCAAAAAAAGAATACATATATGATGCCAAACAATAAACTTTACAACAATGATGAGAATATAAGTAGGCAAGTACACTGAACAACACCATTAGAAATTGGATGCTCGTACTTTGTTAACCAATGTTACTAAACAACATGCAGAGAAATGTGGAATGGGAACCTAGACTGCAGTGTCAGCCTTCATGGAACAGAATAACATATTATTTCTTTAAAATTCCTAATTTACAAAATCCATAAAGGGAATATACAGTCAGCCCTTGGATGTTTTCAAAATTAAAGCCAGCATTTTTCCGGAATTCTGGTACCTCCACATAACACATCAGGGCAAAGCATGGATAGTAAAACTTGGAGTCACTAGTTTTAGGTGATTGGTAAAACCAATCTTAAGACACACGGCACTCTTCTTAATAGCTGGCCCAGTGATAAACATAGGAAGCATTACTGCCCTGTTCCTTACAATGTTACTTGGGCCCCTTCTTTGACTTTAGTTCCTGAGTCAGAAAGTCAGGACAAAGGGCTTAGCCAGATAGTACTTAACAAACTCCTCAAGCAACGGATGTTCTGAGAGCTTTGGGGAAAGATATGAGATTAAGAAACCCATTCCATAGATAGTATCTCTTTACTAGTTTTCTAGCATGAAGAGAGAGGCTATAAGTCAGTGATATTTTCTATATTTATGGTTCAATATTATGAAGTGTATGTAATCTCTCAAAAGCAAGTTCTATAATGATCATAAGGGCCTGTGTCCCATTCTGCTTTTAGTAAAAGACAACTTATTATCCATTTTCCTCCCCTCAATTATTCAAGGGCACATCAATCCTTAAAAATTAACAAATCATCACAGCACTCCAAGAGAATGGGAGGGTGTATAATATGTCACTTTAAAACTTGGTGATATTCAGTATATACGGTCATTTTTTTGTTGCAGGGGTCTAAAGCTTCCATGAGATAATACAAGTTATTTCCATTGCATAACAGTAATCAGTGCTGAACTATCTGGTCAGCATTACATAAAAGGGAAAAGGAACATTTGATAAGTATCAAATAGGACTTATTTTTTAATTGTGTAGTGAGTTTCCATGTATTTTATCAATTGGAAAGAATGTTGAGAATTGTTAAATAACTGAAAAAATAAGAACATCATTTGGTAAAAGCAATTCACTTACTCTTGCTTCCAAATATCTATTTGCTATGGGAGTAGCCAGCAAACAAAACACTCAATGTATTTGGGTTTATTTTGATGCAGTTAATACACAGTGTCAGAGAATTATTATACTTATGTTTTTAATTATAGTAGCCTATAATCATTAGACTAACGAAAAATTCAATAATTCTGAGAGTTCGGCAACTCTGGCTTGCTTTTGTACTGATTTAATTTCCTAACATTCCCACAGAAACCAAAAATGAATTCAATTTCAGGACTTTTTGACCCTAACCAGCAATGAATTTCAATAGAGTTATCTTTCAAGAAGGTAGAACGTCTAACTTGAAGTCGGGCAGAAAAACTTGGACATGCATATGAATCTTGGTCATTTGACACCTGTCCTGTAAGAAGAAGATCTATTTGACTACATCCTTATCTTCCTCATTTCTCCCTTTCTTCTTTGTTTAAATGTTTTAGACTAGGAGTATTAATTAGCTCTCTCCCCCTCCTTCCATCCTCTCTCTGCAGTTCTCATTCGACTCTCTCCAGTCCTAAGAGAAGCCCCTCCAGCCTCAGAGCTGTCTACTGCATCCTAGTCTCCCTCTGGCTTGTCAGCCTTGCACAAACCCCTACAACCGCACAACTGCTTCTGCGGGCGGGCGAGCGGCCACCTCCATGCACCCTCCCCTTTCCTCTACTGGAGAGGGCTTAGAGCCCTGCACCCTGTCGTCCAGTTCCAACCCTCCTCTGCTTGCCATCCCAATCCCTCCTCCATGAGCCTCAGCATCTGGTTGCTGTCCTCGCATGCCCCATCCTTGCCCAGAACCTTGGTAACTGGCTGTATGCTTTGCCCGCACCCGGCATCAGTCTCCCATCCTCATTTTCTCTCGCTTTCTCGCTCATCCTGCCTGTTCTGGATTTCTGTCAAGTCTTTGATGGGGACAGCAAACGGGTCGCATCTAATGTCTTCTTCCCGCATATACATATGTGGTTTTCCAGCATCTTTCCTGGCCCCTTTCTCCTCCCTAACAGGGAAAGGTTCTGAAATGCGAAGGCGCCGCCCTTCATCCCGAGACCACCTTAAGTCCTTCCTCTGGTCCATTCCTGGTGGGACTGCACTGAAGCATACTCTTCCTGGGTCCCTTCTTTCTTCCATTTCACCATAATCCGAATCGAGGCTGAGAGCTGCCTCCACCTCTGGGGTCTCCTGCCAAGGGGGGCGGAGGGGGGCCCACCCACAGGAACAGGTGAATTCCAGAAAGAAAGTGTGCGGTCTTCTGAGAGTGTGCACCCAAGCGCGTCGCCCTTCTGAGCAGGTCCAGGTCCTGCCCATGTGGCCGTGGGGTGCAAGGCTGGCTGGCAGTTCAAACTTGCCTTGCCAAGGGTAAGGCGAGGCCCTCCGGACCTCACCTGTCCCGTGCTCGGGACACCTGGCCTGGGCACAGTGCGCTGGGGATCCGCGGAGCCTCCTCCAGCTCTTTTCCCCCTAGCTGGACCTTCCCGGGGCGGGAGGGGGTGCGGGGGGAATTTAATTCGCTTTCCTCTCCCCTCAAAGACCAACAGGACTTCGCTCCTCTGGGAACCTTACCTCGAACAGGGGACCGATCCTGTTCTTCTCCAGGTAAGCCTGGATCCGGGTTTGCTGGTGAGACGCCATGGAGAGACTGTGCGCACGGCGGCCGGGGACTCGGCCGGGACCCACCCTCCCTCCTCGGGACCGAGGCCAGGAGCCCGCGGCTGCAGCTGAGGTG